AGTTCTCAAAGGGCCCAAATCCTTTCTGGTTTCACCCCCATTCCAAGAGCTCCATCCACACACCGTTTCCCTAAACTCTTACTTAACTCACTCTATTTGCTCTGTCCAAAGTGGCGTTCATCTATCTCAGGCTCACTCTCCTTACATGAGAGGTGGCGTATTTCCTGAGGCTGCCACAAATTAGCACAAATTGGTGGCTTGAATCAACAGAAATTTGTTCTCTTACAATTCTGGAGCTATGCTCCCTGCAGAGGTCCTGGGGAGAATCATCCCCTGCTTCCTTTAACTTTTGCCAGTCACTAGCTTCCTTGGCTGTGGCCACACCATTCCAGTGTCTGCCTCCATGGTCACGTCATCTTTTCTTTGTTTTCTCCTCTGTGTATCTCTTAGAAGGGCACTTGTCCTTGGTTAGGACCCAGCCAGATAATCTGGTAGGATCTCCTTATCTCAAAATCTTTAGTTGTGTCTGCAGAGGACTCTTTTCCAAATAAGGCAAACTTTACAGGTTCTGCGGGACAGGATGTGGATCTTTGGGGGTGGGTAGTTAGAGAGCTTGAAGTTCTACCATCCATGCAGATTTCCCTTCCCCGCTGTCCTCGGGGCCATCTGAGCGGGGTGGAGTCATGCCACAGAGGTCCACTGCTAACTAGTGCCAGCATGCCATCAGAACTGTCCAGAGTGGGCAGAGTAAGGAGCTTCCTCAGGGAGAAAAGTGGCCCACCTGCCCCCCCAGGACTCACACAGCAGGGTATCACCCTCACATAAGAAGGAGGTTAGGATGCCGATTAAGCAAAACCAAAAACAACCAATGTGACAAATGCCTGCTAGAAATAGGAATCACCACAGGAATCATAGTGACTAATTTCTACAATTCCCTGGGGGGACATAACACTGTTTTTGATTTATTATTTGGAGAGTAAGAGGGGCACCAGGGGCTTTGGCTTAGCTCTCCCTGGTCAGGAGTCAGGGGGCCAGGTAAGGAATCCCCCAGTTCCTCAGGTGACCTGGTCTAACTGTTCAGGAACATGGGATGGGTTCGAGGCCTTGCTGCTCATACTCTAACACTCCCTGAGCCTTATAATATTTTAATAACATTACACTGTGCAGCAACCAGTCTTAACAGATTCTCTGAGCCATATCACATAAAGGTCTTGAAGTTCATTTAACTCCCTGAATCAATAATCTAGACATTAAAGCTTGTCTTGCTGGACATTATTCAGTGCCATTATAAGCAGCCATCCCATTCTGTGTTCCTGGTTTCTTCATTCCCCACAAGTCGGTCCATGGCCAAGTCCACACAGTGAACCTCAGAGGGTGCGTGATCCCTGGTGTTTGCAGCAGCTCACAACTTGATAAGCTTTTTCCCTCTGTGTGCCATGGGCTGCTGTTTTCCCAATGCTGAACCTAAACGGGAATCTCAGAGCTTTTGGCCTGAAGTCTGGGCCTGAACCCCGCTCTCTGGTGCCAATATTTGGATCAGGCACAATCAAAACCTACTCTGGCTAATGACAGCAAAAGGGAAGGGAATAGAAGGACACTGGGTGGATCACAGAGCTGAAAAAGGAACAGGGTGACCTACTTTAGGCCTGAAACTCCCAGTAGCAGGAGCTCATGGATTGTTTCTTGAGGATGCTGCTGTGATTTGGCTATGCAACAGCTTTTTTCCTTATGTCAATTCACCACTAATTCAGATTCCCCATCCCTGCCTAGGTCTGCATGCCCTATGATCGGCTGCCTTCCCAAACCTCAGGAAGCAGGAGAGGCTACTGTCAGAGGCCAGGGAGTGATGCTGGGCAGGACAAACTGAGGGCGTCCACCAGCCATGAAGAGCTTGGCTACAGCCTGAGGCCTTTTCTAAATGGGGAATAGCCCCTACTCCGGGGAAGCTCCCAGTCTAATGGCAGAGACATTGGCTGTGCTCTTGATGAACTTCCAGTCTGATGGTGAAGACCGGCCACAAAACCAGAGATTTAAGAGAAAGAGGAAACATAGGTAACAGCATAAATATGTTCAAAGCAGTGTTCTTTCTTTCTTCTTTAATTCTCACTTGAGGACATGCTTATTGATTTTAGAGAGAGGAAGGGAGGGAGAGAGAGAGGGAAAGAAACATTGATGTGAGAGAGAAACATTGATCAGTTGCCTCTAGCATGTGCTCCAACCGGAGACTGAACACACAACCCAGGCATGTATGTGCCCTGACTGAGAATAGAACCTGCAATCCTTTGCTCTGTAGGACAACCCTCCAACCAACTGAGCCCACACTGGCCAGGGCAGCAGGGTTTGCTTTAATGGTGAAAAACCAGAAATTACCAAAACACCTCCCCAAAAGGGAAATGATTATTATTTTCCTTTTTATGCAAACATTAAAATGTTTTTGAAAAGAATAGTAATATAAGAAAATGTTAATGATGTAATACTAAATGGGAAAATTAGATACTAAATTGTATATACATTATCATCCAGCTGTGTAAAGCAATATGTGTAGACGGAGGGAAATACATAAAAATGTTAACAGAGGTAATAGTAATAATAATAATAACAACATTTTTGAGCACTTTCATATGTGAGGCCTGGGCTAAAGAGTTTACACATAATATTTTACCTGTCCTTATGTGACAGAAAACATTATCATCCCCATTTTATATATGGAGAAACTGAGGCTCAAGAATCTACATCCAGGGATGGTCACTTAGCTAATAAGAGCTGATTCAAATCCAATCTTCTAAAGTCAAAGTCTATCTTTTTCTTTTTAAAATATTTTTATTTATTTTTAGAGAGGGGGAAGGGTGGGAGAAAGAGAGGGAGAGAAACATCAATGTGTGGTTGCTTCTCACACACCCTCCTACTGAGGACCTGGCCTGAAACCCAGGCATGTGCCCTGACTGGGAATCAAACTGGCAACCCTTTGGTTCACAGGCTAATACTCAATCCACTGAGCCACACCAGCCAGGGCCTATCTTTTAAAGATCATTTGTGGCTTGAGATTGAGAGCTGCCTTTGCCACCACCAACATGGAGACTTTGTACTGAGTTCAACTCTTAGTGCTGAAATACCCCAACCTGAACCTGAAGAAGCCGCCCTGGGTGAACATGCCCTCAGCCATGACCGTGTATGCTCTGGTGGTGGTATCTTACTTCCTCATCACTGGAGGAATAATTTATAATGTTATTGTTGAACCCTCAAATGTTGGCTCTGTGACTGATGAACACAGGCATAAGAGACCAGTAGCTTTCTTGGCCTACTGAGCAATGGACAATATATTACGGGAGGACTTGCATCCAGCTTCCTGTTTACAATGGGAGGCTTAGGTTTCATTATCTTAGACCAATCCAATGCTCCAAACATTCCAAAACTCAGTGGGTTTCTTATTCTAGTCAGTGGATTTGTCTGTGTCCTATTGAGTTTTCCCATGGCTGGAGTATTGATGAGAATGAAACTGCCAGGCTCTCTGATGGGTTAGAGTACATTTTGCAAAGAAATCTGTGGATGTGGGATTTGTTCTTATCAATGTCGTTTTAAAGGCTGTACCAATCCTCTGGTATGAAATATGGAAAAGGATGAAAGCAGCAGAAAAGAAGCATCTAGTAGACAACATGGGACACACATGAAAGCTCGGACTAAAGTGTCTTCTTGGTATAAAAGAGACAAGCTTAACACAGCGCTTTTCCCTGCTGACTTGCACCCTGCACCGACACCCCAGTGAAGCTCAGTGGCATGCTCTCCTCAGCGTTTACTTTCTTAAAGAGAATAGACTCCATTTCTACAGTTATAATATTGAATAGAGTGACTATTGTTTTACAACTCTCTTAACACTTTTTGGAGATAACAGTTCTGAGTTTCAGAAATTAATGTAAAATCAGGAAGCTAGATCCCATACGCTGAGAACTCTGGACAGCCAATCAGCTTCACCTGTGGTGCTCTGCCTTTAAACAGAGCATGTGAGACTGAGTTACCTCACATGTGCATGTAAGATTGTTTTCTGAACAACAAGGTGTATGAAGAGAGCAGAAATAAATAATTTTTCTTATTTTTTTAAAAGGATCACCTTTTTTCTCCTTTGCTCCTGTTGTTGGGGTTTTGAGTGATTTTTACTTTTTGTAACTTTCATGAATTTTCCTAGTTCTGTACACTATCTACTTGCCTATAAAATCGGGAGAAAGATGTATGTTTTGAAAAAAAAGGGGAAGAAATATGCAACAAAAACATAAACAAGAAGAGAAAGACATTATATCAAACAAAAAGCATATATTAAGGTCTGAGAAATCTCATAAGGAAAGTGTATGTTGTAGTTGCTTCTGTTATCAACCTGCATTACAAATATATATATATAATGCATTTATAAATAATTATAAAATAATATAGTAATGTATTTATATATAAATACAAATATATAATGTGCTTATAAATTATTATAAAATAATGTATTCCTAAATAATATAGATTTAAATACCATGCATATTTACTTACACGTAAATATCTCGCAGTATTTGAGGGCAGGGGCCCTAACCTTTTTATCTCTGTGGTTCTTGCTTAGGAATGATATCCTCACATAGGGTTTAGCACACAGTAGACTCTTAGAAATGTTTATTGAAAGATAGGAACTAGAAACCAGTGACCTGAAGATAAAATGAGAAGAAGCTTTGCTGGCCTCCGGGGGGATTAGAGGTGCTGGGAGGGCGACCATGGAGCAGTCCGGGGCGGAGTCGGGAGAGGATGGGATGAGGACAACGCTCAGGAAGCGGTTTTACGGCAGGAATTAGCGGGAGGAACAGGACAGCTGCAGTCCCACCCTCCCAACTCGTGTTCTCGCTCGGTAGAGTGTAGAGGGGCCTCGGTTCCCTCCACGTCGGCCCCGCCCTGCACCCCAAGGCCGCCCAGCCCGCCCCTCCTCCGGGGGTCAGGGGTGGGGTGGGGGAGCTGGCCGCGGTGCTGAAGCAGCTCAGGTCAGGGAGGGAGGGAGGCGGGGCCGGCCCAAGGGGGCGGAGCTCTCCCGGGCCCTGAGCAGAAAATGGGGGCGGGGCGGTGCCTGCAGGCCCGAAACCCCCAAGGGCTTGAGAGGAGACAGGAGATCTGAGACAGGCCGGCTAAAGCGGACACAGGCACCTGGGCAAGCTTCCCTGAAGAAGCCAAGATCATCTTTGTCCCATTTATTTATTCTCTTTCCTCTACCTTGGAGGGACTCTCATCTTGTGCCCAGACCTCAGCCTCCTCTCCAAACTCGGCTGAGGGTGACCTGCTTCTGGGCCCCCATCTGCACAGACACCGACTTCCAGCCCACAGGCCTCAGCCCAGGCGCTCGTGCCCTCACCATGGTGAAGCTGCTGCCTGCCCAGGAGGCCGCCAAGATCTACCACACCAACTATGTGCGGAACGCCAGGGCTGTCGGCGTGATGTGGGGCACGCTCACCATCTGCTTCTCCGTGCTGGTCATGGCCCTGTTCATCCAGCCCTACTGGATCGGGGACAGCGTCAACACACCCCAGGCAGGCTACTTCGGCCTTTTTTCCTACTGTGTGGGCAACGTGCTCTCCTCTGAGCTCATCTGCAAGGGTGGCCCTTTGGACTTCTCCTCCATCCCCTCTAGAGCCTTCAAGACTGCCATGTTCTTTGTGGCCTTGGGCATGTTCCTCATCATTGGCTCCATCATCTGCTTCAGCCTGTTCTTCGTCTGCAACACTGCCACAGTCTACAAGATCTGCGCGTGGATGCAGCTGGCTGCAGGTGAGCAGGGATAGTGGGCGGGCAGGTGGGGGGCCCACCCCAGGCCACAGGTGCAGCTGCACCATCCCGTCCTCTGTGGAAGCTCTGGGTCTCCTACTCAGCTGTCCTCCTTTAGCCCGGCTCTACTCAGTGTTCTGCCGAAGCTTCTGAGGAGCAGAGACTCTTAGAATGGCTGTGATGGAAAGGACCTTAGAGACCAAATTGTTCAACTGCCTTATCTTGCAGTTGAGGAACTGAGGACCAGAGAGGGCAAGTGACTTTCCCAGGAGCACTCAGCTAATTGGTAGAAGAAGTCAGGTGTCCTGACTCCCAGGTTATTACACCAGAGGCTGTTGCTACTCTGGGAGGAAGGAAAAAGAAAGCTTCCATTATCAGCTATGTGGGAATGCGACCCAACCACGTGGCAAAATAGTGATGCCAGTCAAGCACATTTTGGATGTCACATCACCCACTTCTGTGCATTTGTCCTTTCTCCTTTAAGGATCCCCAGGGTCCTGCCCTCACCCCCTCCCTCCCCCTCCAAACTGCTCTCAAGGAAGACTGTAAGGTCAGTCACTGATTTAGGATGTTCTGCTGCATGTGACCTCTCCCACGGGAACTTGCATTTAAGTTCTCTCTTTTATTGTGGAAGGAAAGTCTTTGTCCCTTATTATAGGGTTCCATACTTGAGGCTGTAGGGGGGAGACATTTTGTGATGAGGAGGTGGGTACTGTCTAGGGTCTTTAAAACCACGTAGGGGGTGGTTACTTGTATGCAGAGGAAAGACCTCCGCAGCCCCCTTTTCCTGCTCCTTCCCCAGGCAGGCCTCAGTGGGCCAGCTGGTCCTACTCTCTAGAGCCCAGGAAGAGATGGCCTAAGACTTTGTCATGCAGCCCTTGGTCCCTCCCCACCCCAAGGACTGTGCATAGCCTGTCCGTACCAGGGAGATGTCCGAGGCAGTGCTGGGGACTGCAGACAAGAGTGGAACTGCTTCGCTGCGGTTGACTAGAATGAAAAGCAGTGCTATCCTGAACTGGCAGAATGAAACATGGATCAGAATCCCAGACAATTAACATATAATCTCAAGATCCATGTCTGAGTTGGAGGAAACCCCAGAGAGCTACAGTTCCCGCCCCCCCGCAACTATAGATAAGGAATTTGGGGCTGAGAGAGCTGGTAAGACTTGGCCAAGCTATAGCAGATCAGCTGGCAACCAAGCACCTAGGAGAACGGAGGCAGAGTCGCAGCACACTGATGTAGTGTGATGATTTGCTGGGTGCCTTCGCACATGTCACCTGGACGTGTCAGCAGCCTCGTCACGAAGCAGTGAAGTGGGCGTTCCTTCCATTTTACACATAAGGCTCTGGGGGTTAATTTGAGCACACAGGTAGTGAGGGACAGAACCTTTGATTTCTAATCTTGTACCCAAGCCTTTCACCAGCCTTAGAGCTGCCCGCATCCCCATAACCCTCTCTTCGGCAGTCTCTCTGTACGATGAGGGGAAGGCTGGGGTAGGGATGAAACGAGCCTTGGTGGGCAGTGGGAGGAAGAAGGGGAATGAAGATTTAGCAGTTCCGTGATGAAGTGGGGTAGAACAGACCCTGGCGAGCTGCCAGCTGGCCCTGACATCAGAGCTGTAGGATGCTGGGAACACAACCATCCCTCTCCTTCTCTGCACTGCCCCTCCCCCAACCTCTCACAACAGGTGTCATTTGCCAAACAGGCAGTACTGGGAGGGCCTGGGTGGGGGAGGGGTCACCTGGCCATATGAGCCAGACTTTGGGTCATGGAACTGGAGACACTGTTAGCCGGGGTGGCCAGGGACCATCGCATGAAACATTTACATTGAGGGAGAGCGAAGGTGGTGTCATGTTCCACTGTTCCACGCTGGGGAAGGGAAGATGAGCCAAGGGAGGGAGCAGGAGGTGGTGTGTCCCACAGCCAGCAGCTGGGGGATGCATCTATCTGAAGAGGCCTTAACCAGTTAGCTCTACCTTGCTAGAAGCCTGGGACCAAGAAAGGGAGCAGGAGAAGGGAAAGAGGACTGATGACTGGACCCGTGTGGGCTGTGCCTTACCAATAACAGATGAGCTTCTGGATGCCAGGGGCAGGCCGAGGATGGTCCCAGCTCCTACAAACACTGGCAGGGCAAGTTGCTTGTCTCTTGGAGTCTTGGCGACCTCATCTGTATAACGTAGCAACAGCACTTCCTTTCACAGGGTTCTTGTGAGGTTGGGATGATGTAATGCATGCAAAACATTTTGTGCAGTGCCTGACACAGGGCAGGTGCTCAGGAAATATAACAATCACAAAACCCAACTTTATCAGTCAGGACGGCTGTAGTGATACCACAGTACCAACAACTCTCAGATCTTAGTGGCTTAAAATTAAGGTTTAGGGTTTATGTCCCCCTCATGGTATGCACTCCCTGAGGGTCAGTTGGGGGCTCTGCCCTCACTGTTCTCTACTGAAGCCCAGGCTCACAGAGCATCATCTGTCACTGCAGAGGGACAGGGAGCTCTAGAAGGTCTTCCCCACCTGTCAGATGGTCCGGCCTAGAAATGCACACATTTCATTGGCCAAGGAAGTCAGATGGCCTTGCCTAACTTCAAGGGAGGGAGGGGGTCAAGGAAGTGGAATCCTCCTGTGCACCTGGAATAGTGTGAACAGCCCCGATGACATCCACACCCACCCAGGTTGTGTCCATCTGACTTCAATGCCAATAACAAGAGCAACAGCTAATGTTAGTTGGCCACTGACCATGTACCAGACACTGTAGTAAACTTTCCATAATCACACTGAATCCTCATAACCCTGCTTTGAGTCAGGTGTTATTATCCCTATTTTACAGAGGAGAGTATGGAAGTCACGAAGGGTAAGTAAACTTGCCTAATACCTTATACCATGCTGGCCTCTACTTAGAGCCCCGAGACACCACAAATGGGGCTGACCCCACAGTGCCCAGGACCAGAGGTAGAAGGGTGGGGTGCTTACAGAGGGCTGTGGTGCCCATAGTGACAACTTGCTTCCAAGTCCGAGGCCCTGGGCTCTTTCCCCGAGCCGCCATAGGGAGACAGTGTGGAAGGGGAAGGGGCCAAGGGGAGAAGCGCTGGGGAGAAAAGTCTAGAGGGTGGCTCCTGTCCACATTCACCTGTGCACGAGCATGTGTGTGTGTGTGTGTGTGTGTGTGTGTGTGTGTGTGTGTGTCTTCCCCCATCCCCCGCCACCCCAGTTAATCCAGGGGCCATGCGGGGCACCAAAGGCTGTTCTCATACCAAGAGGGGAAGCCCACAGGTTTTACCTGAGTATCTTGCTGAAACACTTTTGAGCTTGTCACTAAGTCTGAAGTGTCACCACTAAACACATTCAGCTCTTTGGAGAGATGTCATAGTCTGGGAGTAGAGGAAATTAACTCTGAAGTCCAGAAAGGAGTCCCAAGCTCAGGTCTTGGCTCTGCCATAGCTGGAGGACTGGGCCGGTCACAGTTTCTCTGAGACCTCAGTTTGTAGTCGGTAAAATGGGACATTTGTGTATGGCCTACTTCACAGGACTATTGTTAGGGTCAAGAGCAAAATGCTACACAAAGTACTTTGTGATCTATAAAAGAACAATATAAATGAGCTCCTCCTATAAAACAATCAAAGGAGGGTTGATAGACTTGAAAGGAAGACGGAACCCTGATCGTCATACTTCCCTGAGCATTTGTGTGCTCTGCTGACCCTCCTCACAGGAGCCAGCGAAGCCCCCATTAGGTAACTCTGGGTCCTGAGAGGTGCTGCTCCAAGGGGCTCCTGGGAAGGCACAGCCTCAAGACTAAAGACCCTTCTGCCTGAGGAAGCAGGGCCTGGGAGGGAAAGAAGGCGGCCCTAGCCACATGGTGGCTGTGCTCAGGGTTCCTGCAGTCACACCCCAGGATTATGTCACCTGTCTGTGTAGCGAGGCTGGGGTGGTGGTTTGGTGACGAGGCATGAGAGCAGTGGGGGAGGGGGAAATGGACTTTGTGGCTGTGAATACCAAGTCAATGAAAGCGTGGGGGGCACTATGGGAGTAACACTCACGAGTGCCAGGCGTGTGCCAGGCACTGGTCTGAACAGTTTTCCAATATTAATTCGTCTGACTCTCAGTGCAGTCTAAACAGATGGGTACTGTCATTATCCCTATTTTACAAATGAGGAAACAGGGACAAAAAAAGTGTAAGTAGCTTGCTCCCAGTCACATAGGTAGTTAGCAAAGAGCAGGGCTTGAAGTGAGAGTTCCTGGCTGCTCCCTCTGAGACAACCACCCGGAGTGGTGCTTTTGAAATCGCAGCTGCTGCCCTGGCTGGTGTGGCTCAGTTGGTTGGAGCATCATCCCATAAACTGGAGGGTCGTGGTTTTGATTCCTGGTCAGGGCCCACGCCTGGGCTGTGGGTTTGGTCCTTAGTCAGGGCGCATGTGAGAGGCAATCCATTGATGTTTCTCCCCTCCCTTCCACTCTGTCTAAAATCAGTGGGTGTGTCCTTGGTGAGAATAAAAAAAAGTGGTTCCTGATCCCACCCCTATTCAGGAATCAGCATTTTTAAACACACCTTCCAGGGGATTCTTAGATTCAGGAAAGCATGGGCAGCTGTGCTGTGCTGTCCTGGGTAAGAATGAGGAGATGCAATGGCTTGAATGGAAGGTTCACCAAGAAAGCAGTGAGAGACTCGGCTGGAATAAGTCCTGTGCTCACTGACTCTAAGATACCCGGGTTGCAGGGCACACCGGTACTCTATGTGCTGTAAAAAGGAAAATATTGGATTGGCCAAAAAGTTTGTTTGTTTTTTTTCCATAAGATGGCTCTAGATGCTTAGTTGTCTTTAACTTTATTTGAAACAATGTTGTTAGATTGTATTGTGACAGCTGTCATATCAGCATGCATTTTAAAAAACATCAAAATTGGTGAATTTTTAGAAAAGATTTTTATTTATTTATTTTTAGAGCAAGAGTAAGGAGGGAGAAAGAGAGAAACATCAATTTGTGGTTGCCTCCCGTGTACCCCCCACTGGGGACCTGGTTTGCAATGCCGGCATGTGCCCTGACTGGGAATTGAACCTGTGATTGTTTGGTTCACAGGCCCGCACTCAATCCACTAAGCCACACCAGCCAGGGCAAAATTGGTGAATTTTTATGTAGCCATTTTAATATTGATGATGGCAGAAAACACACAACATTTTCAGCATATTATGCTTCATTATTTCAAGAAAGGTAAAAACACAACTGAAACACAAAAAAATATTTGTACAGGCCTGTAGGGCAGAGGCTGTCCAGAGAAGGTGCTGTGACTGATCAAATGTGTCAAAAGTGGGTTGCAAAGGTTTGTGCTAGAGATTTCTCACTGGACGATGCTCCACAGTCGGGGAGACCAGTTGAAGCAGATAGTGATCAAATTGTTGAGACATTAATTGAGAACAATCAGAATCATACCACGTGGGAGATAGTCAACATACTCAGAATATCCAAATCAATAAAATTATTGGTGAAAATGAAAACTGTGTCTTTAATTTTATGTAAAAAAAATATGGACTTTTTGGCCAACCCAATACTCGTAATTAAACTATGGCCTGAAACTTTCTCGTTAACACTTGTTTCAGAGACGTTGAAATATGAAGAAGATTACATACATCTTAGGAGTGATGGGTTTTCTGGGCCGGGACCAGGTTTTGGGGGCTTCAAAGCAAGGGTAGGTGGCGCCTCCTTAAGTCCAAAGTGAGGAGCATGGCCAAGGGCCTGGTCGGACCCCTTGTCACTGAGGCAGAACCTGCCCGGGGCTGCGGGGCCTGGCTCTGTTCTCTTTCTCCGTCCGCTGGCTTTCAGGGAAGCTGCTTTAGCTCTTGGAGCCTCCGTTTTCTCCCCTGTGTTCTACAAGAAGGATGGTGGGAGCTGCCCCTCGTGCTTCTCAAGGCTGTTAGCACAAGGAGAAGGGAGGTGACAAGATGGCAGCAATGTGAGTCGGGAGGTGGCAGGCTGAGCACACCTGGACTGACACATCTGTCCCCACCCCCTCAGCCACAGGCCTGATGATTGGCTGCCTGGTCTACCCAGATGGTTGGGACTCCAGCGAGGTGCGGCGCATGTGTGGGGAGCAGACCGGCAAGTACACGCTGGGCCACTGCACCATCCGCTGGGCCTTCATGCTGGCCATCCTGAGCATTGGAGACGCCCTCATCCTCTCCTTCCTGGCCTTCGTGCTGGGCTACCGGCAGGACAAGCTGCTCCCTGACGACTACAAGGCCGATGGACAAGGTAACCCGTCCTCCCCCAGGGAGGTGGGGCTTCCTCTCAGCCAGTCCCGGAGACTTCGCCTCTGGCCAAGAGGTGGGGACACCAAGTCCAATCGGACTCAGCTCTTGTCTCAAAGGCCAAAGTCCAGTGGAGGGTTGCAATACGGCAGGTGACAGGCCTGTGGGGCAGAGGCTGCTCCAGGTGAAAGGGTGTTCTCCTGTCCCCTGCATTCTCTGGGTGTGCGGGGCGAGTCCTGATCCACCTGGGGAGCCAGGTGTGGCCTCCCCCTAGAAAGCGGGCCAGAGGCTGGCTCTTGAAGTAACCCTGGGGGTTTGCTAAGGGGATGACAGGTGAGCAGAAGGGATGACTTGTGGGGGAAGGAGAAAGGCAGGTTACGGTACAGAAGCGACAGCTCCTGGACTGCACTCCCTGGGGTGAGGGTAGCTTTGGGGCTCTCCATGTGCCCATCCTGTTTCAGTTTCCTCTCTTCCAAATCCTACCCCTCAAGCATAAAAGTCCGATGCAGCTGACCCTGGACACACTGGCAGACCCTTTGGGAAGCCTCCTCTGACCGCTTCCAATGGCCTCCCTTCCTCCAGGGCTCCTGTTTCTCACGGGCTCTTCCTCTATCTTGAGGCACTAACCTTTCAGTGCACACATTTTATCACCTTGTCATAGGGCTGGGCCCGTCTCACACCCTGTGAATCCCGAAATGCAGGTGGCCACTATGAGGGGCCTGTCACACCCCAGAGACCTCTCCAGTCTCCATTCCCCAGAGTTGTCTTCATATCACCCTTGAACCTGAACAAGAAGACACAGCCAAACTCCCTTTTCCCCTGTGACCAAAGGCTTTCCAGGGAAGCACCTGAAGCCTTCAAGGGAGACCACCTACAGGTTCCCAGAAGGTGGGAGCAAGGAGGAGCATGGCACTCAGGTCTTCTGTGGCTCAGCCCGGGGCCCACTTCTCCACAGGGAGGTAACTGGAAACATCTCACCCTTCTCTGGAGGTTGGAGAAGAGAGATTCACAAACCTGTTATGTGGTTAAAGATGGAAACCAAATTACCAGAATGAGCTGGACCAAGGTGGACGGAGGAGAGAGATACAGTTCTACTGGAGGGTCCTGGGGATGCTTCAGGCCTGGGTCCCTTGCTGACCCCATAAAGGGAAGGGAAATGGAACTAGTGTTTGTGGAGCTCCTCTGTGTGCAGGAGTGATGTAAGGTTTGTTCTTAGAGGACATTTTTACGTAACCCTCACAGCAGCCCTGTGAGGAAAGGATGGAGGTGGGGACCCCAGCAACCTGCACAACTTTCTGCGTCAAGGGGGCTCTCCCAGGAGCTCCACAGGGGGCTGCTTGGCTCTGGGCCTCGAGGGCCACCCTTAAATCCGCCTGGACACGTGTGTGGAGCATCTTTATATTACTCACTTGTATTCTTTTTTTCTCAGAGGGGATTCTTTTAGCTAGAAAGAAATTTTATTCATATTAATTTCTCTTTAAAGTGCTTTCTTATAAAGAGATGGCTGGCTTTCTTCCTTTGACACTTTCTTCACTCATCAAAATGTCAATTCACGTTCCTTTCCTCCCTTCCCTCCTCTCCTTCTGTACCCCATGTATGTTGCCTTGGATCTTTTCAGATTTCCTCCTCTGTACGCATTAGTCCTCTCACTATCATACAGAATTCAATTTATTCTTTTTATTACCTGTTAGAAAACACCCACATAATCTTCCTGAACACATCTGGCTACTCAATGAAGTAGTTATTGCTTCTGTCAAAGCACAAAGTTGGGTCAGGAGAGCAGAGCTTGAATCCCAATTCTGTTTGTTTGTTTATAATTGAATTTATTGGGGTGACACTGGTTAATACAATTATACAGGTTTCAAGTGCACAATTCTGTAATGCATCATCTGTATGTTGTGTTGTGTGTTCACCACCCCAAGTCAAGTCTCCTTCCATCATCATTATCCCCCTTCACCCTCTTTTGCCTCCCTCACCCCCCACCTCTGGTTATTACCCCACTGTTGTCTGTGTCTTGAAGGTTTTTTTTTTTTCTTAATCCCTTTACCTTTTTCACCCAGCTCCCTAACCCTCCCCCTCACAGCTGTCAGTCTGTTCTCTGAGTCTGTTTCTACTTTGCTTGTTTATTTTGTTCCTTAGATTCCATATATGAGTGAACTCTGAAGGTATTTGTCTTTCTCTGACTGGATTATTTCACTTAGTATAATGTTCTCCAGGTCCATCCACTCCATGGCAAAGGGTAAGATTTCCTATTTTTTTAATGGTTGAGTAGTATCCCATTGTGTAAATGTAACACAGCTTTCTTTTCCACTCATCTACTGATGGGCACTTGGGCTGCTTCCAAATCTTAACTATTGTATGAATCCTAGTTCTTTGGAGTCGCTTTTCCTCAGTGTTCTTTCCAGTGAAATGGGGGCACTCACCGCTGCTCTGCTGCCTCAGTTACTGTGTGGCGTAAATGAAACAATGAAGGTGGACATGAGCCATGCACAAGTATGTACTTGTTAATCTACTCTCTAGGGGTTAAGGAAGCAATGGAAAATGAGTACGGGCTTTGGAGTCAGAGCTGGGTTTAAATTTTGGCCCCTTGTTAACTAACTGTGTGACTTCGCAGAAGTTACTTAATGTCTCTGACTCTCAGTTCCCTGATCTGAGCCTTGTTTCCATGGAGTTCAGTAACCTACTTCAAAAGACTGTGCTCAGGAACAGGATGAGCACGTCTGCTTTTGTCATTTCTATTAAGATTGTGCTGGATCTTATAACCAGGGCAATTAGTCAAGAAAAAGAAACAAAAGAAGCTGCATTTGGAGAGGAAGAAGTAAAAATACCCTTTAACAGATAACATGGTTTTGTATATGGAAAATCCTAAATAATCCGTGAAAAAAAAACTATTAAAGCTAATATGCAACTTTGGCAAGGTTGCAGGATTTAAGAGCGACATACAAAAATCTGTTGGACTTGTGCCCCAGCTGGTGTGGCTCGGTTGGAAGGTCGTCCGGTAACAGGAAGACTGTGGGTTCCATTCCCAGTCAGGGCACACACCTGGGTTGTGGGTTCCATCTTTGGTCCGGGTGTGTACAATCCCCAGTTCGGCACTTGCAGGGGCAACTGATCGATGCTTGTCTCTTGCATTGATGTTTCTCTCTCCCTTCCTCTCTCTAAAAGCAATTAAAAAGTGTCCTAGGGTGAGGCTAAAAATATAATAAATTAAAAATATATTGAAAGTCTATTGGATTTGTATACACTAACAATGAACAATCTGAAATGAAATTAAAAAACCAATTTCATCCTGGCTGATGTGGCTCAGTGGGTTGAGTGCCAGCCTGCAAACCAAAGGGTCACTTTTGGATTCCTGGTCAGGGCACAGGCCTGGGTTGTGGGCCAGGCCCCCAGACAGGGGCGTGCGAGAGGCAGCTGATTGATGTTTCTCTCACACATTGATGTTTGTCCCCCTCTCGCCCTCTCCTTCCCTTCCCCTCTCTCTAAAATATAAATGAAATCTAAAAAAAAAGTAAGACAATTTCCTTTACAATAGCATAAAAAAGAATAAAAAAGAATAAAATAGGAAAAAATGTAACAAAGAAGTGCAAAACCTATACATGAAAATTGTAAAACATTGTTGACAAAAATTAAAGCCTTAAATAAATGAAAATATTCATGTTCATGGATCAGTAGACTTCATATAGTTAAGATGGCAATATTCCCCAAACTGATCTACAGATTCTGTGCAATCACTATCAAAATCCCAGCTGGCTTTTTGCAGAAATTGGCAAGCTGATCTAAAATTCATATGGAAATACAAGAGATCCAGAATAGCCAAAACCGTATTGAAGAAGAAAAAGTGAGAAGGTGGACATGTCTTGATTTCACAACTTGCTTCCAAGCTACAGTAATCAGGATAGTGTGGTACCTGCAAAAGAGCAGACACACAGACCAATGGAATGCATTTGAGAGTCCATAGAGGGGATAAATGATAATGGAATAAATAAATAAATAGTCCGGAAATAAACTCAACATCTCGGGCTGATTTTCAACAAAGATGCCAACACCTATATATGGGGGAAATAACAGTCTTCAATAAATGGTGTGGGGATACCAGATATCTACATGCAAAAGAAATTAAGTTGGACTACCTACCTTATATCATATATAAAACTCAAAATGGATCAAACATCTAAATGTAAGATATAAAGTTATAAAACTCTTAGAAGAAAACATAAATGTCCATTTTCATGACCTTGGATTAGGCAATGGTTTCTAAGATATAGGAACTAATACACAAGCAACCGAAAGAAAAATAGATAAATTGGATTTCATCAAAACTGAAAACTTTGTGCTTCAAAGGACACTACCAAGAAAGTGATAGCATAATCAATAAAATATATTTTCAAAAAAGAAAGTGAAAAGACAACTTACATATTGGGAGAAATTATTTGCAAATCATAATTAAAATTCTAGTATCCAGAACATATTAAGAGCTCTTATAACTCAAAAATAAAAATACAAATAACATAATTTTTTAAATGGGCAAAGGATTTGAACAGGCATTTCTTCAAAGGAGACATACAAATGTCCAAAGGCACATGGAGATCCTCAACATCATTAGTCATTAGGAAAATGTAATTCAAAACCACAATGAGATAGCATTTCACACCCACTAGGAAGGCTATAATAAAAAGGATAAGGAAGTGTTAGTGAGCATTTGAGGACTTGGAACCCTCATACACTGGTGGTGAAAATGTAAAATTTTGCAGCTGCTGTGGCAAACAGAATGGCTGTCCTCAAACAGCTAAACATAGAGTTACCATGTGACCCAGGAATTCCACTCCTAGGTGTATATGCAAGGAAATTGGAAATGCATGTTCACATAAAACTTGTGGATGAATGTTCATAGAAGCACAATAGTCAAAACGTGGAAACAACCCTGATGTGCATCGACTGATGAGTGGATAAAGAATATGTATAAATCCATACAATGGAATATTATTCAGCCATAAAAAGGAATGAAGGACTGAAAATTGCTACAATATGGATGAATCTTGAAAAAATTACAGTAAGTGAAAGAAGCCTGACACAAAAGACCATATATTGCATGATCCCATTCATAAAAAATGTTCAGAACAGGCAAATCCATAGAGACACAAGGTGGTAGTTGCCTGGGGCTAGGAGGAGGGGGAAATTGGGAGCGATTGCTAATGGGCACAGAGCTCCTTGCACAAAAACGTCCTTGAATTAGGTAGCAGTGATGCTTGCACAACCGAGTGAATATCCTTTTTTTAAAAAAATATATTTTATTGATTATGCTATTACAGTCGTCCCATTTTTTCCCCCCTTCACTCCCCTCCACTCTGTACACCCTCTCCCACCCATATCCCCCCCTTTAGTCATGTCCATGTGTCATACTTATAATTTCTTTAGCTTCTACACTTCCCATACTATTCTTACCCTCCCTCTATCTATTCTCAACCTACATTCTATGCTACTTATTCCTGTACCTTTTCCCCCTCTCTCCTCCTCCCACTCCCCTCTTGCTAACCCTCCATGTGATCTCCATTTCTGTGGTTCTGTTCCTGTTCTAGTTGTTTGCTTAGTTTCTTTTGGTTTTGCTTTAGGTGTGGTTGTTAATAATTGTGAGTTTGCTGTCCTTTTACTATACATGTTTTTTTCTTTATCTTCTTTTCTTAGATAAGTCCCTTTAGCATTTCATAAAATAAGGGCTTGGTGATGATGAACTCCTTTAACTTGACCTTATCTGAGAAGCACTTTATCTGCCCTTCCATTCTAAATGAGAGCTTTGCTGGATAGAGCAATCTGGGATATAGGTCCTTGTCTTTCATGACTTGGAATATTTCTTTCCAGCCTCTTCTTGCCTGTAAGGTCTCTCTTGAAAAATCAGCTGACAGTCTGATGGGAACTCCTTTGTAGGTTACTGTCCCTTTATCTCTTGCTTCTTCTAGGATTCTCTCCTTCATTTTTACCTTGGCTGATGTAATTATGATGTTCCTTGATGTGTTTCTTCTTGGGTCCAACTTCTTTGGGGCTCTCTGAGCTTCCTGGATTTCTTGGAAGTCTATTTCCTTTGCCAGAATGGGGAAGTTCTCCTTTATTATTTGTTCACATATGTGCTCAATCTGTTGCTTTTCCTCTTCCCCTTCTGGTACCCCTATAATTTGGATGTTGGAACGTTTAAAGATGTCCTGGAGGTTCCTAAGCTTCTCCTCATTTTTTTGAATTCTTATTTCTTCATTCTTTCCTGCTTGGTTGTTTTTTTCTTCCTTCTGGTACACTCTATTGTTTTGAGTCCCAGTTTCCTTCCCTTCACTATTGGTTCTGCGTGCATCTTCCTTCATCTCTTTTATGGTAACCTGCATTTTTTTTCATGTAATTTGTGCCCAAAATCAACCAATTCCATGAGCTTCCTGATCACCAGTGTTTTGAACTGTGCATCTGATAGATTGGCTATTTCTTGGTCGCTCAAAAGGATGAGTCCTGGGGGACTGATCTGTTCTTCTGTTGGAGACATGTCTCTCTCTCTCCCCTTTTTTTTTTTTTCCAGTCTGGTCACTCTTGTTATGGTGAGGGCCAGAGCCTTAGGTGTTCACCGGGGCTGGGCACCCCAGTCGCTAGATTGTGACGTTTATGTGGGGGTGGAGCTGGGAGGGAACAATGGCAGTAGCTCTGTTCTCCTGGGATTTCAGTCCCTTCTCTGGGATCCTGGGTTGTGCTCTCTGCCCTGGTCCACAATGCCACCTCACTGGGTCTGCCAGCCGCCACTTGCATACTCAGGGCCCACCGCTGTGTCCCAGAAGGCTTACGCGCTCCCGGTTGCCTTATGTGCCCAGTTCTCCCTGACCTCCACGTGCTGCGCCGCGCGCCCACTCCTCCTCTCAGCCCCTCCTACTGGTCTGGATGAACGGGTCTACTTCAACTTCTTGGCTGTCCGACTTCCATTCAGATAAATTCTCTATCAGTTCTGAGTGTTATTCTAGCTCTAAATTGTTGTTGTTCTAATCTTGGTTGTGCGTGGAGGTACGGTGCGTCCACCTATGTCTCCATCTTGCCCGAAGTCCCTCGTGAATATCCTTAAAATAACCAAGTGGAATAAAATTTATATTAGTGAATTATATCTCAAGAAAAATAAAAGATTGTGCTGAAATTAGAGAGTGCACACAAAACACTAACAATGCTTGCATATTATAGGGGATTAATCAATATTAGTTCTCCCCCCATCTGTCTTTCTAGTATCTCCACTTCTTACATCATCCATCTGCCCAACCAATATCAGCTCCTGTGCTCAGTTGCCCACCGACAGTTTCCAGCCCTGGGGGTGCAGTGGTGAGGGAAGAAGTCTAAATTGGACCTTAGGTTCTGATAATGGAGACAATCTAGCTACATGGAATTACAACCTGATAAACGGTGTGAACAAAGAGTGCAAGCTTTCTTGAGAATGAATAAGAGGAATTGTTGGGGAATTCTCCTGAAAACAAGGCTTGGTTGTAAACAAGCACTGTTCCTTCTCTTTTTCATTGCAGAGGAAGTCTGAGGCAGCTGCAGGGTCGGTGAGTAATTCCACTGTGGGGTGGTCTGCGTGACCTTGGATGGGCTGTGGCTTCTGCTTCCTTACTGAATTGTCAGGCGGAAAGACTCATGAGACTGAGCTGTAGGGGCCATGAGGTGGCCTGGGGATGACCTAGGGAATGGGAGGAGCTAGCTGGCATCTGAGCCCTTCACTGAGGGGCTAACAGGAATGCTTGAGTTTTACTTGTGTCCTGAGAAGTGGAAAAAGAACAGGGAGAGAAGAAAGATTTTAAAACGGGCAGGTGGCTTCATAAACTCATCTTTCTGTGGAGTTTGGCAAAAAAGAACAACTTTTAGAACTCATTACTGTCATTTGCACCCTGATTTTCAGAAAGCATTTGAAGTGATTTGTAAGACATATACTAGAAAAACCTAATAAAATAGAAAACAAAAGTCATAAAAGGAAAACAAGTATTCCAGAAAGCAAGGCTAATAGAATTACGGCACTGAGTTATTAAATTCAGCTCTATGCTTCCTGATAGCTGAGGCAAAAAGAAAAACAAGATTTAAGCAGCTTTAATGTATGGTTGAAAAAGAAGCACAACATATTAATATCCTTATAGTCTTTTAAGTTTTCAAAATGTGATTTAACCAGAAAATTAAGGAATGCACTTTGAAAAAAGAAAAGCCCAGGACAGCCCTGGCCAGCATGGCTCTGTCGGGGGGTCGTACTGTAAAGCAAAAGGCCGCCAGTCCAATTCCAGCCAGGGCACACGCCTGGGTTGCCTGCCTGGTCCTGTTTTTGGGTGTATGCAGGAGGCAACTGATGAATGTTCCTCTCCCTCTTTTTCTCCCTACCTTCCCCTCTCTCTATAAATAAGTAAAATCTTAAAAACAGAAAAACAAAAGAAAGAAAAGTAAAGCCCAGGAAAGTATCAACTCCTTGATAGCTGTCAGTGATTAGGGATCTACATACTGCAGGCCAGGCACTTTGTGTGGGTAGGGAGGAGTATCTCACTGTAATCTATTTTAAATTTTGCAAATTAACTTCCAATCTGTGACCACATAGATATACTTTTTTTTTGGATAATTATAAATCAGTATTGCAGTGCACCCCCCCTCCCAAGATGTTCCTCAGACTTTAATAAGAACCCGAAGAGCTGGGGATCTTGTTGAAGTGCAGGCTCTGACTGGCAGTGATGGGTGCTGGAACCGGGGTCCCACTTTGAGTAGCAAACTATTAGAATATAGATATTTTCCCGATGTTCATTATGAAAGTTTTTAAAAGCTGCCAACTCCACAGCACTCATGTGCCATTTAATTGTTAAACCAGACCTTGGTTATTGGCTATTTTGGATTGCTGCCATAGATAACTTTCTGACAGAATCTGGAGTGGAATTACTGAGTTCCCCCTTTTTGCTCTACATTTTATTTACATTATAATGGACATGAATTTTTTTTCTCGAGGGACATTGAAAACTGTCTTATACACTAGTGAGGACGATTGCATGCCTGAGTGGAAATGAATCAAAATGTGAGCATCATCTATAGGGAAGTCTTTCATTTTTATTGGCTTTAAAAGTATCAAATTTTATAATCTTAAACTCTTTTGTGGCTTTAAAAAAACATCACAGGTCGTCTATTTCCCTGACACTGGAAAATGAGGGAATAGTATTCTCCTGAGATGAACCTAGTTCCTGCCCAGCATCCCTGACCCTGGCTGCTAGAGCAAGTCCCGAAGCCCTCGCTGCAGGACTGGAGCCTGGCACTCTCCGGGACGAGGCTGCCTACTGTCCACAGAGAACTCTCAGGTGAAGCCGAAGTGCAGAGACCCCCATCAACGATATGCAGACACAGGTCCCTCTCTCCTGACTGGGGACCCAAGTTCTCTTCCTATCCCTTCATGCCTGCAAATCGCTTTTCCCTCTTGAGGTCTCCTCTGTGAAAGGAGGAGGTGGAATGAGTCCGAGCCTAGGGCCCTCCGGGTCTGAGACTCCCACAGCCCAATTCACCGAGGACACGTCCTTTGAAGGCACACCAAAGACGGCCACCGGCTCTGCAGGGCGTCTGAACGAGAGGCAGCTAAGCAAGGTGGATCATTTCAGGTTGAGGTTTAGGGGTTCCTTTGCTTCTCCTTTCTCACATTTTGTTTTCTTACTGATGCTCAGAGGTGGGTAAGGAAGAGAGAAGCCACCAGAACCTGAACCCATCGGGAAGTCTAATAAAGATCGGGTGAACATAGAGTCTAAAAACTTGAGACTAAATTGGCTTCTTTCCCTTTGGAACCCAAAATCACACCTCTGTGTAGTGCCCACACTGACCCAATCAGAACTGGCTACCAGATTCAGAAATCTGTTACATGTGTTCAAGTAGTTTGTTACAGTAATTGAAAACATTTCTTGTAAAACACTTTGGATTTGGCACACTAAATGGTGAGTCTTTGCCAGCACCCAGAGGGGAACTCAGTTTGGATAATACCGCATTGTAGCAAATGCCAAGATGCCTCATTCTCCAGGCTCTTCCCTCCCTGGGGGACGGTGGGTAGGGCAGGGATTTGTTCACTGTCTGCAGTGAACGGTCCTGAGGAACAGGTGTTTCCTGGTCTTCAGTCATTTACTCAGGAGAGAAAAAACGTGGGCGCTGTTCTCTCATGGGTGAGAGGGGGTAAATGCCGAACAAAGCTGTAATGGATCTGATAGCTTCACCCAGCAGCAGTCAGGGGCATGGCACACAGTAGGTGTCTTACTCTGGGGCCGTAGGGCATTATGTTTTAACCAACACCCTCTGACCATACGTCCAGTCAGTGCAGGGTTTCTGCTCCCGTTCAGATGGGCGAGAAACGAGAGCCTCCCAGCGCTGTCCCGGTTGCCAATGGGAACTTTTTAGCATGAGGTGTAATAATTGTATTCATCTTTTTAAAGTGGCTCAGTGAGTTTATTGCATTTTTTCCATTACCATGTGTTATCCTTATACTCACCCTTCTCCGCCCTATAGTTGCCACGCTTGTCCATATCCATGAGTCTATTCATATTTTCTTGTGCTGTTAAGATTATTTCAGAGCCAGGCACCTACTATATGCAAGCTTGATAAACAGCAGAATTTCACAAATTCTATAGCTTGGTGAGTTTCTAGCTATATTTGTTCATTTATTTCTTTTACTTTTTATAGAAGGCAAGAAATAAAAACATTTCTAAAAGCTTCTCTACTGTCAAAATATTTCTCACTGAAATGGCAACTATGGTGATTCACAGGAGCTTCTGGGGGCTTCAGGTGCACCTGCCAGCAGCTTGCATTGCTCTTGCTGGGAACAGCGAGCTGCTTTGTGCTGGGGAACGAAATGCAAGTGAGTCACCACCCAACGTCTCCCCCTTAGCTTTATGTTCAAGGAAACTCGGAATTCAACCTGTCCTATAATAGTAATGATTTTTGTTGATACTCTCAGCTCTCTCAAGTGGCTTTACCTTTAAATAAATTCCTAAAGGGCACCTCACATCTCATTTTTGAAGTATATAGAAACTCAATAAAACCAGCACTCCTCTAACCAAGTTACCTTCCTTCCTTATTCATTTCTGGTTTGCCTGTCTTGGGCTGGGGGGTAGGGATGGTTCTGATACCCGTCTTATCAACAATGACCATGCCTGAGCAGATATGGCCCAGAGAGGAAGGACTAGTCATTTACTCCTGAAATGTGAACTGGAAGGATACCCCAAATGCTTTCATTACCTTACATCTTTGTATTAACTGTTGCTGCATAACAAATTACCCAGAATGCAGTGGGTTTAAAACATATCAGTTTCTGTGGGTTAGGATGCAGCAAGTCTCAGCCAAGTGTCTCTACCTCAAAGTTTCTCGCAGGGCTGCAATTAAGGCGTTGCTTGTTTTTGAGCCCAGTGGTTGTCTGCAGGGTGTTTCTCACAGGTTGTACTGGGGGCCTCTCCACAGTGGTACTCACACAGCACCTTGCTGCCCCAGAGCCAGGGCTCCGAGGCGAGTCAACAGGGTGCAGGCCGAAGCCACAGCCCTTGGATGTCCCAATCTCAGAAGTGACATCCTGTCATGTTTACCTTCCTGTTAGGATAAACCCCACATTCAAGGCAAGGGAATTACAAGTGCTCTTACACAAGTGTGTAACAGGTGGGGATCAGTGGGGTCCTGTTTTTCAAGTAACTTATTTTTTGTGTCATAATTAACTCCTTTAATTTTCTGCTAGAATGGCCACTTACTATAATGCTTTATTGGAACAAATGTTAGATCCTCATATCCTCACATGCCGCTGATGGATGTTTGTTTTACAATAAAGTTGCTGAAAATGAAAGAAGAGCCCTAACCCTCAAAACTCCCTCTACTTTTGTTATCTAACCTCAAGAGGATTTACAGGAGGGTCCACTAGTTCTCCAGTGACCGCACCTTCCTCTATATTAAACAAATCCAAAGTTACCAATGCAGTATCTTAGGGGCATAATTTCTAAGAACACAGCTCAAGTTGTAGGCAGCTGATGTACCTTGTGTAACACAGTCCAGTTCTGCCAATTGGAGGACAAAACTTGTTACTGTGTTAAAATGGGCGAAAGTTAGATCCGAATTATGGATGAGAGAAGATTGTGATAAAAGTGAACTTGGGAGGGTATAAACTCAAGTTGATCACCTCCCTTTATAAGGAATGCTGCAGTGGGTAACAGAACTAGGTACTGATGTAAACCTGCTTAATTAAAACTTTTAAAACACTTAACATCTCAAGTTTTCTGGCTTTTACACTGGGATATTTCTGATTTCATGAGTGGGTGTGGATTAATATTTGTGTAAAGACTAAGAAACTGCCTATTGTACATTTAGTTTTAATCACATACATTTTTAAATTACAACTCTTAAAAACAAGATACCAGCAGTGACAAACATCCCTCCGCAGTAGGGCCAAAGGTTCGTATGTTATCTTCATACAGTTTTGAAAACTGAAGAGCTGTTACCAACGCCTTGATAACTCCGAAGGCACCAAATTGGTGGGCAAAATACAAAGCTTCTTCGATGTTAAAAAGACCCGATTTTGGGAGCAAATACAAGTTATCAACAAATCACCAATTTTCTGCGCTACAGTAGTCTAAGAGCGAATCATTTGCCTTGTAAGGTCAAAATGGAACTTGACAGGCTTCAAAAATAAAAGAATGGCCCTGGCTGGTACGGCCCAGTTGGCTGGAACATCGTTCTCGACTGAAAGGTTGCGGGTTCAATCCCTGGTAGGTAAAGGAGCATCAGAGAAGGCAGCCTATCATTGTTTCCCTCTCTCTGTGAGAGTAATGAAATAATGTCCTTGAGTGAGGATTAAAAAAGAAAAAAGGAATGGGCAGTAATGAAATCTTTGTTACCCGGCCATTTCCGGGGTGACTAAATGGTTTCTGCATGGACACGCAGGGCAGATGAAAAGGCAAAAGGGTCTGTCACTCCAGCCCAGGTTGCTGGTTCTTTAGGGATAGCGGTAAGTCTCCCAGGACAGCACTTAAGTTTCCCAAAACCCTCTGAATTCTGTGCCCATATATTTACCACAAAGCTAGATTGTCAGTGTGGTGAATATACTGGTTTAATAAATCCTGATTTAGTAGTTTTAGGTTGTTTTTAAAACAGGTTCCATTATGGTCAACACTGTAATATGAATACACTATGTGTTAAGTATGGCATAATGAAAACAAATGAACTAGAACAGTTTATGTAGTTCAGGGATGGGGAAGGACTTTTTTGTGAGTAACACTAAAAAAGTCACAAATACAAATGAAAAGCAAAGACTAGAGAATATGATGGAGAAAGACAAAAATGCATTGCCAAGTCACCAAATAGGGAAGCACACCAAAAGAAAGCCGGGTAACCTGGGTAAATCACCAAAAAAACCCAGAATAAAACAAACAACCCCCCCCCACTACCCCGCAAATGGGCAATAAAACCCACAAAAAAAGTTTCTGACTTTACTAGTGACCCAACATGAAAATTGCTGCAAGACACACACAGTCCTTTTGGGCAAATTTGCTATCAGGAACAAAATGAGCAAGGTCACAACAGGCCCTTTCAAACACCCTTGGTCATGGCAAGGTAGTCCAACTCTCCTCCACATAAGTTAGGCAACATTTATTAAAAGCCTTACACTGTGCTTACTCCCCTGGCCCAGCCATTGCATCTCTAAGGATTTACCTCAAGGACTGAATCAGACGAATGTATGAAACCTGTGTACACGTGATCACCATGCCAGTGACTTAGTCAGAGTTCACACATTTTGGCCATTTTGTACATACAGTGATTGTAACCTGAGGGGGGAAAAATACCAAAAATATTCTGGGACAAATGCTGCCAGATGTAGGGAATAACAATTCTCTCAGAATTTCCCAAAATGTACTGTTAGTCCACCCAACCTCAACTTAAAAGACAAGAGACACTACAAACCCCACAAGATAGCATGTGTTCAGGTTGTATAGTTTCATTGCATATTTAAGACCAAAAAGCACACTGAACCAATGCCTTCTACTCTGAAACCTGGGCCAGACCAAACTGGGCAATAAGTGAACACAAAGCTTCTGATAACATGTAGGTTATTAAATCGTTTATTGTATTGCATTTACAAAGAAAACAGACAATGCATCCAGTAGAAAGAATAAAAATGTATTCAGGATTTTATTTTTAACTGACAGCAAATAGAAACCCTTTAGTGAGATCATGGCAATTTGACAGTATTATGATTAAATTCAATAAAGGTACATGGGGTGCTTGGAAGATCAAATTCTACAGCTGCCTCTTTCTACGCCTTCTAATTCATCTGGCTCTTTAAATGATGGGGAAAGCCCTTATTTCATGAGAAATGGTTCCAAAATGAAGTTATTGTTTCTCCTTCTAAAAGTTCTCTTCATGTCAATTGTTAAAATGGGGCCTTCTATTTGTGTTTTGGTTATTTCACCTTAATATCATCCCCATAATTCCTGTAATTCCACAATTGTGATTTTATGGCGTAGAATTCAGTTCTGGTCTGCTATTGCTTTGGGTGGGTGTGTGTGTGTGTGTGTACGGAATATATATATATATATTCAGATATATATATCACTGAAAACCCTAAGTGGATTAGAATTGCTGAAGGATTTTCCCTGCCGTTGTTTGATGCAATCTTTTTTTCTCTTTATTCTTGATAGGTGCATAGACAGCCTCACTTAAAATTCTTTCTATAGGAACATGTCTGATTTCGGGACTACCCAATCAAGGATCCGATGAATGGCTGGCCAGTCACTCAGGGTAACGTGTTTGAGTTAAATGGATTGCATAATTGTACTTTTTCCTTTGCCACCGTTGGTGGATGACTGACAGAATCTACATTCTAATTCTTGTATGGAAAGTTGGCTACACAAAAGTCTCATTGGTAGCTTTGCTAGTAGAGCTTCAAGGTGCACCTCCTTGGCCTTCTGTGAATCAGAGTCCTGTGGCCACTTCTGGGGAACACTGTACCCCCAAGGCCCACGTGGTCCGAGCTGAACAGGTGGCTGTGACCTCTGTCATGCCCCTTTTGATTTTCAATATGACCCAAGGAATATGTAGTCTAGGGCAAGCCTGAGAGAGACTCATCCTAAGATTCATAAAGCCTTTTCTCATTAGAAAAAAAAAAGAAGAAAAAGCCTCAAGTACATCTCAATCATTTCAAAATTGCAGTTAAAAACTTACATTATATAAGGAAATAGCAGCAGAGAATGGCTAATGTTAAACCAATCAACAAAAACCTAAAAACAGACCCCCCCCCCCCGCCCAAAATAATGAAAAATAGGAAGTGCCATCCCACCCCTCCCCTCAGTTCTTTTATCCTGGGATTTTACTTAGGACCTGAGGCCTCTGAGAAAACCAAAATGGCGAAGCCACAGAGGGAGACTGCTTCAAAGCTAAAGTTTAGACAAGACAAAGTGAAAGCTGTAAATAAAAGTCTGGGATTGCTTGGAAAAAAAAAAATGAACTCTAGACGTTTTCTTCTCAGATGGGAAATCTCTGAGGTCCCGATCTCCTTTCTGGAGTCAGCCTGCACTCCTCTGTTATGGGGCGAGAAACACAAGTGAACTGAGTCAAGTGCCAGCCAGGGATTAAAACAAAAACAAAAACACCCAAACAGCCCAACAAAATAACTCTGTTAGGGTAATAGGAGACACATAGGAAAGGACTGTTTGCAGAACATCTGAGGTTCTGAAGAAATTACTAGTCAATGGTTCTGTTTTGGTTTCCATCGAAAAGCAGACAAAGTTTCAAGGCTCTTGGAGTTATTAAAGAGTGAAAAGAACATGACAAGTGTTTCAAACAGTGACAAAATGGTACCCAAATTTGGTGTTTAGACAGCTCATTTAAAAAAGACAGTAGCTTAAAAGTCGCAGGAAAAAACGTGAACATAGAGAACAGAAACAATCCAGGAAGATGATGCAGCCCAGACACAGCGCGTTTAATGTCTCTGATGAACAGAGAGGTATATCCCCTTCCCCCTTCTCATCCTTATGCTGGCAGCAGGATATGCACTAGAAAATTAGACTCTTAGAGTCAGTGAATAAAAGGATGAGCTCATACATCTTCATAGCTCTTTTTAAAAAGGCTGCTTATAATTTAAAGGATGTCCTAATGGAAAGACAAGGGTACAGGGCGAGAGGCTGTTCCGTATTTTAGTCCATTAGTCTTT